CTGGGCCGTTCTCTGACAATCCCAGGGCCCGTGGAGGGCCCTGGGAAGGGGGGAACTTTTTCGGTCTGCGGGTCGGGAGCGGGCCCCTCCAGGTCAAGAGCTAAACGGGACGCGGGTAGCCCTGATTGGGGAGACAGGGCGCGGGCGGGCGGGGCCTCGGGCGGCCGGAGGGCTCAGAGAACAGGCGGTGCCGAAGATCTTGCACAGGGAATGGGGGAACACACAGGTACAGATTCCAGATACCGCTGATCCCTGGACCGCTCCCGGGGCGAATCCAGTCGTGGCGACGAGAGCCCTCCGGCACGAGCAGCGGCATCGGCATCACTTGCCCCTCTCAGGGGGGCCGACGACGGCGAAACACCGCAGGGCGCGCTTGCTTCACGGCGGGCTTCCTGCCCCGCCGCCTGCTGTTGCCCCGCTCGGGCGAGGCCGCTGGAGAGGCCGAGTCCACTCTGCACTGCTGGAAGGACGCTCCCCTGGGCGCGGCCAGAGGAGGGGGCGCGGCATGGTGCAGAGAACAACTGCGGGAGGGGACGAGGACGAATTTTGTTGTTCGCCGCAGGCTTTGCTCAATCCGTGCTCCGAATTCTGGGCCTAACGAGGTCCTCAGCGATTCGCTTGTGCAAACTCCGCCGACCCCAGGTCGGCGTGTGTGAGAGGCCCTTCGACTCGAGGCCAGCCCAACCCAAACTGAAGTACGCCAGCCTCCTTTGAATCGTCGTCGTCGTAAGGGAAATCGAACAAACAAGGGGAATCGAACAATGTCGTAATCACGTCGGAAGGACGCCACTTTCCTTTGTCCCTTTGCCCGCCGGGGGTGGATCCAGGGGAGGGGTCCCGGGGCAGGTCCTGGGGAAGTCACGGGGGGGCCTGGGGGGCGTCTCGGGGGTTGTGAGCCCTCCCCGGCGTGGGGCTTTTACTTTTTGGTTTTCGCCTCCCTGACGCCCCCCCCCCCCCGAGGAAACAGACGGCTCAACTCCTCCTCCACCTCCTCCTCCTCCTCCTCCTCCTCCTCCTCCTCCCCCTGCTCCTCCTCCTCCTCCTCCTCCTCCTCCTCCTCCTCCTCCTCCTCCTCGTCCTCCCCCACTTCCTCCTCGTCCTCCTCCTCCTCCACCTCGTCGTCACCCTCCTCCTCCTCCTCCTCCTCCTCCACCTCCTCCTTCTCCTTCTCCACCTCGTCCTTCTCATCCCTCCTCCTCCCTCCTCCTCCTCCTCCTCCTCCTCCTCCTCCTCCTCCTCCTCCTCCTCCTCCTCCTCCTCCTCCTCCTCCTCCTCCTCCTCCTCCTCCTCCTCCTCCTCCTCCTCCCCCTGCTCCTCACATAATTCGGCCAGCCCGCCCAGCACGCGAGGCTGAAACGATTCGGCCATGAGGCGGCGCAGGCGGCCTCGCGGCGAATCCTCGGCACGACAACCCAATTCCAGAAAACAAAACAACAAAACAAAAGTAAGAGCACCTAGGCACAATAATTGTTCGGGGGATATGTGGGTGCGCACACGACAGCGAAGCGAAGCTGGCGGCAACGTGGTGAATCATCGGCAAGGCTTCAAAAGTCCTAAACGACCAAAGTAATAACACCTGAGCGCAATAATTATTTTGGGAATCCCATGTATGCGCATTGATGCACATGTGATAAATATCTGTGTTCATGGATGTGCATAGACACTCGTAACTATAATAGTGTATAGCTGATCACATATAAAAACCGATGTATGAGCACATGCGCACACCTACTTCTACGAACCTATACAACTACATGACGTGTACGTGAGTACATGTGTATATATATATATATATGTGTATATGTGACTGTACGTCGGTATGGGTTCACTGTTTATACATACACACGTGTATATGTATACTGGACGACATACATGTATGTATACACGCAACTATACATATACACTAACGTATGTCCACCAGCCCATGCACACATATACACTGCGTGGTTCGGTACATATCGACATCCACACTGTATGTGTTCAAGGTGTGGATGGAGCTCGCAACTAATGCAATGCATTCGCCACGCTGCTGCTCGTGAGCGCATTGCGCGAGCATGACGCAGCAGACAGAAAACAACACACATGCAATATGCCTACGCGTCCTACGACGGTGGCACGGGCACCTCTTTGTCCGACCACGCAGTGCAACGGAAGCGGCGAAGGTCATGGCACGCTAAGAACCGATTGGAACAACGAAACACGACACCCGAAGGCGCCGTTTTGTCCAATCACGCTGCCAGGTAAGAAAGGCCGCGTGCTGAATACATGGTTTGGTACGAGGGGAAACGCCGAGACGTTCGTGACAACAACTTTGATATCTTAATGGTTTGCTGTCATGCCTGGTTCCTCACTTCTTCATGCGAAACCAACCGATTCTGCACGAGCCCGTTTCCATGTGGCAGCGTGATTGAATACATTGGAGCCTCAACTCTTGTAGCATTTCGCGCCATCTCACATGTGCTATGCACGCGGCGACGTCCATGCGGCAGCGTGGCTGGACGACGCCACCACACATCACTGTTACACCCGCCCCCCCCCCCCACCTTCTGTTCTACCATCCAGCCAAATAGCCGAATGAATGCCCCTGCAATCCCTTACGCATTTCCTGCTTCCTGTTGCCTCGGTAGTTGTCCCTGTTGAGGCGGCGAGCTGTTGGTTTCAGGTGTTTTTTGGGGCTGGCGCCTGGTCCATCAATAAACCACGTTGTGCTCAGCCCACACTTTCAGGCACGCGGAAGATGTGATCAGCCGAAAGATCAAAATTCTGTAAACTTCGAACACATGTTTTGACAAAGCGTAGCCGCGTGTATTGCTTGATTGCATGGCTGGTTTGGCTGGTCCATGCTGTAGGGGTGTTCTTGAATCTATTGTCTCCAAGAAGGGATTTGGCAACATAACAACATTTATATAACAAAATACTGGTTTGGCTGGTCCCTGGTTCCTGGGATTCACTCGGACCCAGGACCTCAAAACGAGGGATCGGACAGAGTAGAATAAGCTATCAACTAGTTAACCTCTCCCCAATGTTTATGCTCAAGACTTTTGATGATGTGACTGATCTCCGGCTTCTTGGATGCACGTCAATCCAAACGCCAAGGATCAGGCAAAAACGCTGTTCCATTTACATTGAACAGCTGCTACTGTGGTTGGTCCCTGGCTCCTGAAATTCACTTCTATCCGGGATCTGGAACACCAGGGGGCCGGCAAAATAGTAAGCAGTTCAAACGTGTAAGATGTCTTCACAAATGTTTGCTGATTGGGCTGATCCCTGGTCCCTGGGATGCACTTGTGCCCAGCACCTCAAAATCCAGGGGTCAAGCAAACTAAAACAAATCTGAAAGCATGAAACGTGCTGCCTCCCCCCAAACATGTTCAACACTTGGAGAAAAAACAACTGTTTGGGCTGATCCCGGGTTTCTGGGAGTCCATTGAATCCAGGATCTCAAGCATCAGGGATTAGGCAAAAAGGCATTGCTTTTTCATGTTTGTTATGAGTTCGCTGTTTTGGCTGGTCCCTGGTTCCTGGGCGTCGCTTCAGTCCCTAACACAGGATATCAAACACAGGGGATCAGGCAACATAACAAGCACTATGATATGCTTCAAATTGTTTCTGTTTGGGCTGATCCCCTGTCCCTGGGATTCACTTGAGCCCAGGGCCTCCAAAACCAGGGAACAGGCAACGTATCAATTGTTCAAACAAAAAACTTGCAGTGTTGGAGATTTGGGATAGCAACTAAATTCTTGATCTGTAATTAAAAACGGATGGACAGGCGGATTCCAAATTCTGGAATCCAGCGCGTTAGAGTCCTTCCGATTTTGCTACCAAGGGATGAACAGCAGGGGCGGCGCAAAACTGAATCATATGCGAGAGAAGCGGCATGAAGACAGAAGCTGGGAACTCGACGCTTGGGGCTGCGTCCGAAGGGGGCTGGGGGGGGGGGGCTGGGAATGATGCTGGTCGGTCGTACCTCCGCCTCCCCCTCCTCCTCCGCCCCCTACTCCGCCTCCTCTTCCTCTTCCTCCTTCCCCTCCTCCTCCAAACACACCTCCCGACCCATATCCCGAGCCTGTGGCAGGGTCATCAGCTTGTCGTGGTCGTTGTCGTCGTGGTTGTCGTCGTGGTCGTTGTCGTCGTCGCCACTCTGGGTCGGCGGCGCCCGCCGTGAGGCCTTCACAGATACCCAGGGCGATGACTCAAGAAGAGAGGGGGAAAGGGGGGGGGAGGGCGAAGAGACAGGGATGGAACCCTCAAGAAGGGAGGGGGAACGGCGTACCGAGAGGGGAAGGGCGCACAGAGGAGGGAGGGCGGGCTGGGGGAAGGGCGCACAGGAAAGGGGGAAGGAGGGCGCACAGAGTGGGATGGAGCCCTCCAAAGATCTTGGGTGCGCTCAGAAACTCCAACTGATAATCATGGCTGTGCCCCCCTTTCGCTTATGTAGCGCAATGGTGTGCAACAACATTCCACAGACTGTCATGTACTGCCAGGTCGTGCCATACAATACCATGATGTGTCACGGCATGCCATACAGCGTGATGCAATCACATCTGCCAAATCCGCCGCGAATCCTTAACCTAACTAATTCTAAGAATCAGATAAGCCCCTGGGGTCGAATCCGCAATGATCTCTGTGCTTGGACCCTCTGTCCCCGAGGGCCAAGCGACACCAAGGTTTCCTGGAAGCTTCGCGTTCCATCAATGTGGCCGTCACTGCTGTCGGGCTCGCTTGCGAACTGCTCTCCCCGCCGCCTGGAGAGGAGGGAGAAGGGGAAGCCACTCGATCATTGAAGTGGGAAGGCGCTTAAAGTAGATTGAAATATGGGAGTGCAAGAATACCTACTTTCAACGACCGATGAAAAGACCCCATCTTACTGCTGCATGTGTCGAGCCAGGTCGATATGTGATTGTCGCGGGACCCGACACCGGGCGAACACGACCAGCATGACAACAATGCTGCTCGACTCGACCTCCTCTGAGCCTTGGGCCACGCGGCGCGCCGCCGATTTTCAGCCCGCCGAGCAGCTGGACGCCGCATCCGCCGCCCCCGTGCGACCAGCCAGGAGATGCGGACGGCGTGCCCCTCCCTGCGCCGCGCGCGCGGCGCGCTCGGAAGCTATAGAGGCCCGTCAGATGGGCTTCCGGATGGATGCGGTCGGCGGATCGCGCCGCAGTGCCGATGCATCGCCGATGCACCGCCGATGCATCGCCGATGCACCGGCGACGTCGGCGGTGCATCGCCGACGCCGGCGTGGAGAATATCGGACTCCGCATCGAGCCCTATCTTACCAGCCTGGAACATATCCCTATCCGTATGCTGGGCACCTCCTCACTACGATGCCAATCTTAGGGATTCCGTTATTTTTTGATGGCGAACCCCTGAGATTGTCATCGCCTTTTGGCGTGTCAATCTTAGGGATAGGGATACGTTCGAGGCTGGTGACTATCGGCGATGCATCGGCGATGCGGCGCGATCGCTCGACCCCATCTGCTCGGACCCCATTGGGGAGGCCTCGAGAGATGCGACGGCCTGGCCACCCGCGGCGCCTGCGCGCGCGGAGGGCCGGCGACGCCGCCGCAAAGATAGGCTGCTCTTTCTCCGCGGGAGGCAGCGCCCCGCGCTGCTCTGGGCTCCCAGGCTGCCCACAGATCTCCAACGACATGATCTTTTCATTCCGTAGGACGCCCGAAATGGATACTTACATTAACAAATGGATACAGTGCGCAACAAAAAAATGTTTTCCAAAACCGACAGCGGCCGCTGTTGGGCAGGCGGTTTTTGGTTTTCAATGAACAAAGTCCGCGGCGGCGGGGGAAGCGAGTCCCGTTCAAAATAAGCAGGAATTGCTGTTGGGCATCGTACCCATTATGTCCGTACCCGTTGCGATCGTCCCGAATTCTGGTCGGGAAGACGTAGGACTCGGGTTCGGGGGACTCGGGTTGGCCTGACGGGGCCATCATGGAAATGACGAGACCCAATCTGAAATCTGGCGCAAACTCCCGCTGCAAACATCCCACGAATACTGGACCGTCAAACTCCAAGATGCGCTCGTCAAAAGGCGCCGGAAAGCCCGAGATCTGGCGCACTCGAGTCCGACATTTCCCGGATCTGGCCGTGATTCCGTTACTTTGGCTGGATCGCTCGGGCCTGCGGGGAGAACTCCTGAGCAGGGACCGACCGTCCCGGCATTCCTATAGCCCTACCGCGAAATGTTCTTAGAACTCAGCACTGCTCTGAGAGCGCAGACAGTGCTCTCAGAACGTGAACCCGAGGCGTGAAAACAGGACAGGCCCAGCCAGAAAGGTTCTGAGAACGTTTCGCTGGAACCACAAAGAGGTTGTTGGTTTTCCCTGAACGCTTCCCTGTGTTTTTCTTCCTGTTTCGTGCGTGTTTTTTTTATTCGCTGAACGTGCCCCTGCTTTTTGTTCGGTTTCGTGCGTGTTTTTTTTTTTTTTTTTTCGCCAAGTGATCGAGGATGCTCCTCGATGGTCCTCGCCGACTGAAACATGCACACGCCCGAGCGATGCCAGGAGGCAGGCGGGGCGCCGCCTCCGCCGCGGCCGTGGCGGCCGGCCGCGCGGCCTGCCCCCAGCCGCGGCTGCGCGCACGGGGGCCGCGCGCGGGAGAGGGCGGGCCACGCCGCCGCGGAGCGGGAGGGCAGCTCCCGAGGGAGCCGTCGGTCGTCCCGCGGGCGCCCAGCATAGGAGACTCGAGGATGGACAGACCCCCCTTTCGTAAAACGTGGTCTAGTGAAAACGACCTGAAGCCCAAACCTGGCGGGCGCAAGCCTGGAAAATCACGGCCACGGCGCCCTCTCGAGAACCGAAAACGGACCATTCACTAATCGACGTGTCACTGTTGGGGGTTCTGTCCACCCCCGAGAGACCGATTTCTGACCACACCGACTTCCCCAGGTGCCTTGCGAAAAAAGCGGCTTCCAGAGGTGGAGGTGGGCAGTTTCCCCGACCCAGGGGAAGGAACAGCTACTCACTTCCACCCCCGAGGGCCTATCATAGAATCGAGGATCCAGAGGTGGATGTGGTCAGAAATCGGTCTTCGAGCAGCGCGCCCCGTCGCGCGCACGGCAGGCAGAAGGCGCCTCCCTCGCGCGGCGCGATGCTGGGCGCTGCGGGTCGCCACTGGGAGCTGCATCGGCGCTGTTCCTGCGCTGCGGGGCGCTGTTGCTCCCCCGATGGGGCTCCACGGAGCGCTGAGGGGCACCCACTCGCCGATGCACGCTCCGTGAAAGACAGACCGAAGCTCCCGCGACTTACTCTGCCTAACAGACGGCTCGGGCACTGCGTAATAGGGGGGGCGATCAGTGCGGGGGGGGGAGAAAAGGGTGCCTCTCGCGTGCACCTGCGGGCTCCCACGGGCCCCCTGGAGGGCGCTCTTGGGGTTCGGTCCGGCATGTCCTCCGACAGGCGGTTTTGGGGAGAAGAACTCCAGCATAGTCAAACAATAATCAGCAAAAAGCGCGAACAGTCGTCCCCATATTGTCCTTCACTACTCTTGAACACCTCTCCTGTGGAGGGACATGGCCGACCCAATCTTAAGGAGGGATAATCCGCGGCCCTTCCCCAATCGTCGCCCCCCCACCCCACCCCACCCCTCACGGGGCACGCGCACAGACCTGTGCTGTTGAGAGGCCCACAGGGGCGCCGCCGCAGAGATGTCCCCTCTTCGGGAGGCGAGGTCCCGTCTGCCCCCAGCGCCTCGTCCGCCCCGTCCGCTGCCCCTTGCCGGACCGATCCCTCCTCGTCCTCCTCATCATACTCGTTCTCGTCCTCCTCCTCCTCTTCTTCCTCCTCCTCTTCCTCCTCCTCCTCCTGCTCCTCCTCCTCCTCCCCCTCCTCCTCCTCCTCCTCCTCCTCCTGCTCCCCCTCCTCCCCCTCCTCCTCCTCCTCCTCTTCCACTATTGATCCTTATAGATTACTTCTCCCTGTCGCACCTCGAGGCTAGTTGCTAGGGCAATCCGGGCGTTTCGCCGGAGACTTCCTCACCATTTATGACCCTGAAGCTTGAAACATTGACAACAGCTTCACAAATGGAGGGCGGGTCGTTTTCAAAATGTGGCTCTCGCTTTAGCGCCGCGCACATTCGTTTTAAATATTCGCAAGACCTTCACGGATTGAGGGCAGCTCCCTTTCAAATTGTGGCTCTCGCCTGAGCGGCGGGCAGATGTGTCTTAAAACTTTGCAAATGCTTCACGGATTCCCATGATCAACGAACCAGAAATGGTGTTCCGGAAGAATTCAGGATTGTGAGGGTGCAGCAGTTACGTTGGCTCGCGGTGTGAAGTCCCAGGAATGGCGTTCTTTCACGATCCAGGATCGTCAAGACGCAACAGGTCAGGTTAATCCTTGGCGTTGAACGCCAAATAACAATGTTTTGGCATGCTTCAGACGGTTGCTTTCCAACGAGGCAGTTCCCTCAGTGGAAATGAACCCCGGTAAGGGGCTATGAAGAGGGAGCTTGGAGGAAGGGTTTATTCCAACCTCGTTGATGACTCTTGGGTTTACACTGGTCTTCTTCCTTCTCCACCTCCGCCATCTCCCCCTCCCCCTCCTCCTCCCCTCCCCCTCCCCCCTCCCCTCCCCCTCCCCCTCCTCCTCCCCCTCGTTGCCTCGTTGCCTCCTCGGGACGGGGCCCCCAGAGGGAACCCCCTCGTCCTCCTCCTCCTCCTCCTCCGCCTCCTTCTCCTCCTCCTCGTCCTCCTCCTCCTCCTCCGCCTCTTCCTCCTCCTCTTCCTCCTCCTCCTCCTCCTCCTCCTCCTCCTCCTCCTCCTCCTCCCCCTCCCCCTCCCACTCGAGCGGTGTGGGCATACTCCCCGCTCCTAGGCACAGGATGGGCCTGGGCAGGGACACTGGACATGTGTGTAGGTCTCGTCGCCCCTTCTTCCCACAACTCTGCGACGACGTGATCCGACGACTCCGGGAGCGTGCTTCCTCGAGCCCGGCCACCATCCATGCTGGATCGGGGGCGAAAACTAAGGGAACAACAAGGCACCGATACCGCTACTCCCTGGACCTCTTCCGGGGTGAGTTCTTACCAGGATTTCGTGGCACATGCAGCCGTGGCGACGAGGGTCTCCCAGGAGGCCCAACGAGAGGAACACGGGCGAAGGGCAGCGGCATGGGTGCCTTTTCCTCCGCTGGCATCCACGATGGATCTGGGGCGAAAGCTGCTCCCAGGAAGGGGTCGGGACCGCCTGGGGCCACGCATTGCAAGATGTCTGGGCCTCCAGCCACCTCCCTCCTGGGGCCCCCGTCCGAGCTCTGCGCCTGCGCCCCGCCCTTCGCCCCTCCCCACCTGTTGGGCCCCGCTCCATGCTCCTCCATGCTCCTCCCTCGCGCTCGCCGCTCGTCGGCGCCTCCTCCCCCTCCCGCCCCCCTTCGGGGACCCCTGTCGAAGGCGTGCGCGCCCAGCCAGGTACATGAGCACGTCCCCCCAGTCCAGCCCGCGAGGCCGGGCTCGTGCGGCGACACGCGGCGTCCCATGCACACGTGCGCCTCTGTGCCTCCGCTCCTGTCGGGGGCGTCCAAGAGGGGGGCGTCCGAGAGAGGGGGGGATCGCGAATCGTGGCCAGAGGTACGTGCTCGGCCCAGGGGGAGGACCAAGGACCGTGCTGTGGAAGCAGAAGAGGGCCACGCAGATCCGAGGAGATACCAGGTATCGTGCGTGCTTCTGCCGCCAAATGATCAAGGATGCTCCTCGATGGTCCTCGCCGAAGGAAACATGCGCACACGCCCGAGCGATGCAAAGCCCTTGGGCGCGCCCGATCATGCCCCCTCTTCCCCCTCCCTCCCCCGATGATGCCCTCGGGCCGGGGGCTCCGCGGCGCGCCCCCCGAGAGCGCCGGCGCTCGCGACGCGCCTACTGCACCTGCTCCTTGAGGTGCTCGAAGACCTGCCGCTTGATCCAGGTCCTGTTGTGCGGGACGTAGGAGCTGGCACCGCGGTCGGCGGACCGGCCCGAGGGGCCCGGGGGGGGCCACCAGGAGCAGCCACACTTCTGCTGCGGGTCGCGGGCCCGGCGCGCGGCGAGTTGCGCAGAGCGGCTGGAACTGGTGCCAGTGTGGTTGGGATTGGTACCAACATGGTTAGAGCCCGTCCCAATCAATTGACATGTGTCGTCCCTACCTAGGCTCAGTCTAGAAGGGTTCTTACTCTATGTGCTTAGAGGGCCGGGCAGTGGGAACCGGCCCGGGCGGTTCCCCTGGTATCCGCCCCGCGGTTCCCCCTGTTATCTCATCTTAGCTTAGCTTATGGCATCTTAGCTTAGCTTACCTTCATCTTAGCTCAGGTTTATCTTAGCTTAACTTACCTTCATATTAGCTTCGATGAGCTTACCCTAGGCTCTGCCTAGAGGGTTAGCTTAGCTTCGCTTAGCATAGCGCAGCGCTGCCTTATCATATCATAGCATATCATGGCATATCATACCATAGCCACTCATATCATATCATATCATAGCATATCATAGCGCAGCATAGCATAGCATAACATACCATAGTATAGCATAGCATAACATAGCGCAGCTTAGCATATTTTAGCATAGTTTAGCATAGCACAACGCATCATGATATACCATAGCTTAGCATAGCATAGCATAGCGCAGCATAGCATAGCATAGCATAGCAAGTTTACTGGCTATCCCAAGAAAGACGACAGGCGCAAGGGCAAAACCAATGCGTCTCCCAAAGGAGCTGGTGCTGGAAAGGGGAAGGACACAGCCATTTGCGAAGAGTCACGAAATTGGAAGACCAAAGGGTTCCCCAAGGGACGCGGCAAAGGAAAAGGGAAGGACACGGCCAAGGGCGACAACACAAGAAAAGGCTTAGGCAAAAAATGTGGCGGCAAAGGCAAAAAGAAATGAAGCAGTCTGCAGCGCCAGTGCGCTGGATGACCAGGCTCACGGAGGGCCTGGACTTTGGAGACCTGCTCACAATCCTCAACTGGAAGGAAAATCAGCACCGCGTCAAAAGATACGATCCCCTTACGAAGTCTATGGTTGATGACAGTGCGATCCCATGGCCCATTCAATGGTTGATTTTGCGCCGACACAGGAAGCACATTTTCTAATCACGTGGGTTGCCATCGATGGAACGCGTCCGTTTGAAAGTCACTGATTTCGCGAATAGGATCAAATGGCGGTGGTATTACCAGCAGTACCCTCCAGAGGCTGTTGATTTCACTCGACCTCGCTCTTCTCGGGTCGCCCCCTTTTGCCCAGAGCACAGCATAGGCACGAACTATGAGTGGAGGATGTTGGATCGGTGGCTTACTTCTGTGAAAAAGAGGCTTCTCGATGCCGTTCGGAAGAGCCGGTCAGCACATAGGTTTGGTGATCGAAGTTAATCCAATTCTACGGCGCTCGAAAGGCTTGCCTTGAGGACCCTCAGGAGTAGCGAGTACGTTTGCCTTCCGAACGACAAGAACAGCATGTATTATCTTGTTCGCAAGTCCGACCTCCCAGGGATGTCGGCCAGGATACTTGACTCCAACATGTACATATGCATCAGCCCGCATGGCCTCCTGAATAGCACCATAGAGACATATAAGAACTTGTGTTCCGAGGTTGCCGACGTCATCGGGCAGCCGCACGCTGGCAGACGGATGTTCAGGACCGTTTTCTTCTCGAACGCAACGTTCTTCAGCCGTCTGCAGCTCACCGTGAAGGACCACAAATCAGAAGGGGAAGTATCGTGCCGACCAGTGCACGCGACGCCCACGTACATTTTCAGCGGGCTCAGCGCGTGGGTCGTCTCAGTTCTTCGGGACAAGCTCGACGAGCGTGCGCCCCATCTCCTCCGTGATTCTTATGATCTGATCCGCGGGCTGCAGAATTTGCACCCTGACCGCACGTGGCACTTTTGCAAGGTTGATGTGAAAAAAGTTTTACCTTAACGGTACGGAAGACCAGATCGTGTCGTGCGTCATGTCCTTGTTCGATGTCCGCGACACCATCTACAATACCCTTGAGAAGGTCATTCGTTTTCTATTGCGGTGCCAATTCGTACGGGATCCTTGGGACGATTCGCCAGACAGGGTCTACCAGGTGATGTCTGGTTCAGGGATGGGGCTCCTCCATAGCGGGAAGCTCGCAGACTGCACTTTCTTAGGTCTCGTGGAGCAGCACCTCCTCCTCCCTAGCATTTTGGATGATCACGGCATCAGGGGGTATTTCAGATTCCGTGACGACATCTTGCTTCTCGGTCAAGGCCTAGCGTCCAAGACCAAACAGTTTTATGATCGAATGCGGGCCAGAGCTGTCTTCTATCCTTTGACGGTAGAGTGGTCGATGTGGAGTGTTGATTTCCTAGAAGTTTCCATCCACAGAGGAGATGGGAGATTCGATGTTTCACATTTTCTTAAACCCACCGCTTTGGCACCCCCGCTGGAGACGAATAGCTCGCACCGTTTTCCGATCCATGCTTCCTGGCCGCAGGCTTACGTGAACCGAGTAAACAAGCTCTGTAGCAATCCAGACCTCTTCCAAGCTTCTGTGCACGACGTCTTAGAGCGTCTGAAGGCAAACTTTGCAAGTAGCTTCACGCTGCAGGCGGTTAGAGCAGCCGCCCTGCAGAGCCAGAGGCGTTACGACACCAACGGCTCCAGGGTCAAGCAAAAGAGTTTTTGATGGCTAGTGCTGGGTCACCACCCAGCGCTAGTGAGCCCAATTAAGAGGGCCCTCAAAGGCAT